AAACCCTGGTTTATGTACAGGCAAGGAGACATTTACTGTTTCTCTGAAGCTGAAGAGTGATGGTAAACAGAGCCTCAATGCCAGCTGGAGTGTATGCAGATAATTCTGCTTTCATATGAAAGGTATGAGGCTGATCTGAACCACTTGACTCTCTGGGTAAAAGACAAATCTTCCTGCTGCTAACTTCCTGTTGGCTGTTGGCTTCCTGCATCTGAAAATATCTCCTTCTGGGCAGTAAAGTCAAAGCTAAGTGGCAAAAACCAGAAGAGATACTCCTCCTGCTCTCCCTGAATCTGTGAATTTCTTGCTGCATTACTTGGGTCTGTTCAGAAGAGAGCAGCCCGCTTCTGCATACCCCGTACCTAAACAGACTCCATTCCTGTGGTAACACTATCTTCACATTTGCATGCAAAGTATGATTTTCACTGCACTGTTTAGATTGGCTATTATGTAATAATATCATTGTCAGGGAGATTAAGGGAGGAAAATCTTACCTTTTTTTTTTTCTTCTGTTGTCTTAGTACTGATCGGGCGTCTAAAACAACAACAACAACAACAACAACAACAACAACAACAACAACAATAACAACAACAAAGGAAGAAAAGTGACAGAAACAGGAGAGGGTGGACCACCATTGATTGCTGCTAGGGAAATGAGCCTTTTGTTGGCTAAGCTTCATAATGAATTATACACTCTTCTTCCCACATTAAAGACCATACTATCTTTTGGTGTTATGCCTGTGACCACAAAGTCAAGTGCAGATGTCTCTCCTCTTCCCCTAAATAATAGCAAGGACAGGCTGCACCCTCCACAGGTGCAGATGGTGTCTTGAGAAGCTTCTTGGGGTCTGCACTATGCCCACTGTCAGGAGTCAAGCCTAATATTTTAAAAATTGAGATATTTCTGTATGAGACACTAAATTAACTATCTCTTTGCTATATCATTGAGATAGTCCTACCAACTGTCTTCTGAGTGAATCCTAACAAAGGCCTGCCATAGATTATATTAGCTGGGGTCTAATACTGGGCATTTTCTGATGAAAGTTTTGCTGTGGGTGGTTTGGTTCCAATTTGAAGGAGATTCCCCCTTCTGTTTCTTCAGTATCTCTAGAGTAAGGGAAACAATGTGCTCCCTGATGTGCATTCTTTCCTGCTGCTATTTCTGACTGTGCATAGTCCACTTCTTCACAGTGTTTAGTATGTTATGGGAGATTAAATAGATTTTCCTACTGTGAGAGAACAATAATCTTATGACCATTCAATGGCTGTTTGGTTTTTTTTCTTTTTTGTCCTAAGCAGTTTCATGATACTGGAGTTTCATGTATCTTAAACACAGATCCATAAAGTTCAAAACAACAATCTGGCTTTGTGCAACTTACTGATACAGCAGGAGGTCCACTTGTGAAGAAGAAAATACAGATATTTACTGCATACATTGTGGAGAAATATGGCAATGTGACGTGAAACCCAGCATCAGATTAGGGGAGGAAATCTCAGGCACAAACATCAGCATCATGCTTTATCTTCATGCCTTCCTTAGGTAGTAGCCATTAGATATTCACACATGGGATCTGAGAGCCCACTCTAATGATTTTGTTGGGGTAGATGCAAGGATGAGCCTTAGGGACTAAAAGGGAGCAAACCTCCTCCAACAATAGGAAGCCATGGAGCAAAGGATGGAATAATGAATTCCTTCTTGACATTTGCCACTCCTACCATTGGGGTGGCTGATTATGAAATTGACTATGAAAACCTACGGTTTTGTGCATGTGGAAAAAAAATGGCTATTTGAAAACCCTCAGAAGCACAGCTTTTTCCACTGATCCATGTTCAGCACAGCATCTGCACTGCACACATCCATCAGTGGATTATGTATGGTGCCCTCTGCTCTCAGAGGGAAGTGCATGGGACAAGAGAGCTAGCAGAGCCTGCATATCTCTTCAGCCTGAAAGATGCTGCTGGATGATGCTGTTGATCACATGAGCTGCAAATGACAGTGTGAGGAGAAGGTCTGTCCCACAAAAGCCTCAGAAGCTATCTGTGTGCTTTCCTCCCTGGGGTCCTCATGCACAAACACACTGCTGCTGTTTCATCCAAGATAACAGGCTCCACTGTTACACAACTGGGCTCAAACTGCACCCAGCAGAATCCCACAGACAGTGAGATGGATTGTGCATGGGTGATGACAGGTTTGCAACTTAACAGCTCCATTTAAAAAATCTTAAGACAGTGCTTAACTAGCTGCTAGAAGGTCCTCATGAGGACTGTGGCAATTAGGAATTGATGTTTGTTTGAAACAGGAAAAATATTCTCCACCAATGCATCAAATCCTGAACATGAATTAGTCAATAGGTGGAGAGATTTATTTTGATGACCCCTCTGTTCCAGTTTGCCCTTCTCAAGATATAGCTATCACAGAAGAAAATCATGGATCCAGGAATTAGCCACGTCACTCTTCTTACAGAAATTTAAATTTCTGACCCCATAATGTAAAAAGCACAAGAGGAGGAAGTGCATAATCTTGGGTCTTCATCCCAAATCATATGGGGATATTAAGAATTATACTGTAAAATCACTGGGACTGGAAACACATGAGCATACTCTGCAGTAGATCTCACTGACTAATAATCTTTCTTTACCTGACATTCAATATAACACTAATAATACACTTTGTTGATAAAATGATAACAAATATGTCCATCCACTGAAATAACAGGGAAAAATCTTGTTTGTGCATATAGAGTAAAGCAGACATATGTTGCAATTTATCTTTCTACACTGTTAGTGCCCAAAGAAATGTACTTATATTTAATCCAGCTGTGGCGCACGTGACAGGCATTCTGCAGCTGTCAGTGATGTTATGTACTGTAAACACTAAACATTCATTGTAAAACTGTACTCATTATAAGAAGTAAAATATGGTACCTGAATGTTAACTGAATTATTAATAATAAAAATTGATTACACACATCTTGTTTGCTGAGCAATTATTCCAGGGATAAGACTGGTTTCAAATTTTGCCTCATTGACCGAATGGCAGAACAGGTATTTGCACGCAGTGTCTCTGACTGAGAGAAAACATCAGAAACTTTATAAGTTTTGTGAGGAGAAATGAAAGGTTCTTTGGTTTTTTTTGCTTTAACTATTAAGTAAAACTATTGTCTGTGTTACTTCTTAGAAAAAAGAAGAATCTCAGAAAAATTAAATGTAATTTATTGAATAAAAGTCTGTAAAACATAAATTTCTCTACACTTGAACATGATCCATTATTTGAATGTGTATCATTAAGGTTTTGTTGATAGGGCTGTTAATGAAAATCCTGACTCTGTGTAATGGGCATACATTTGGATTATGCAGTAGTGTTTAATTTTATGGCAATCTTCAGATAAAGGCTGGTTGAACTGCTTAGCATTTATATGTACAGAAAATGTATGAAACATTTTACTTTTACCTGTGTGGAATTCTGGGCCTCTATCTACATCTCAGCCACTGGCAATGTGTACCAGGCAAGTTCTGTGCATATCCCAGTGCTGGCAGCCTGCTTTTACAAAATCAATGAATGATTTGGGGTGGCAGATCCAAAGAAAGATTAAAGATCATCTAGTTCCACCCTCCCTACCATGGGCAGGGACATCTTCTACCAGATCAGCTTTGTCAGGGCCCCATCCAACTCTGCCTTGAATATTTCCAGAGATGGGGCACCTGCAGCCTCTTTACGCAACTCCTTCCAGTACCTCACCACTGTCAAAGTAAGACGTTTTTTCCTAATAATCTAATCTACTCTACTCTCTTTCAGCTTAAAGCCCTTTTCCTACCACTACATGGCTTTGTACGAAGTTACTCTCCAGCTTTCTTATACACTCTTTTCTTCAGCCTCGCCTTTGAAGAGCCCTCTTGTCTGGGCAAAAGTATTGAAACAGTTGTTCTACTCAGGAATCATGCTATATTAGGATGAAGAGCATCTTAACTGTACAGTTTCAAGGGGAATGTACCCTGAAGCCCTTAAAGTTACCTTGGCAAAGCTTCAAAAGCAAGAAATATAAATCCCCAAAACTGGCATAACAGCAGCTGATTTAAAGGATTCACTATTGCTCCCCATAAGATCTCAATTCTACTGAATAATGACTTTTCTTGTAGTGGAAGGTGTTTCAGATTTGATGTAAACTTAACCCTAAGTGTGGTTTAAATCAGGACTATTTTACCCACGGTCAGGCAACGTGTGATGACTTTCCTTCTGCTCCTTGAAAAGGACTGTTCACATCTGAAGGAGCAAAACTATTGGAAGTAGTTTTATACACTTTATACATTGATTCCACTTCTACAAAACTATGGATAAAGTATGTTTCCTACCAGGATGTGAGAAACTATAAAAAAGCAAAAGCCTTCCCCTACAAGTAGTGTATAATGTTGGCAAGAGTACATGTATGAAGCACTTTCTACTCAGAAGACATTAAAATGACAAGGGTCATGTAAGTATTCACAGTTTCCAAAACCACGTGTTTCTTGGTGTACCATTTGTAGTGATAACATCTCATAAGGGCCCCAAGCTTGGTACACATCAAAAGGAATCTATTTTCAAGTTTTACTTTGTGCCTAATCTTTGCAATCTCTCCCACGCAATCTATAAATGGCAATTGATTTGTACACAGATGAGAATTTGTAATAAAAAAGTGCAGGAAGACATGCTCTTCTTTCTTCTTCAAAAACCTTTCTTCTGCCTTGGTGAGAAAATGTTGCACTTAAATTGAGCTGTATATTTCACAGAGGCATAGTGTGGTGTTACTTCCAAGCTCCGACTAACCAGAAGGTTAGAAAAAAGGATTACAACCCCCTCTCCAGCAATTTTTAAATCTGTGTGTTGCTACTGAATTCAGAAACTACTTGAGCCTCAAAACCCATGCAATGTGGACCAGATACTGGAAAGAAAGTACTTGTGGCAACCTCTGTAGCTCACAGAAAAGCCAGGAGTAGCCCCTGGGTCTGGCATGTGTATGTGTTACCTGAAGTCAGTGCTGGAGGAGACCCCCTCAATTAGGACAGCCAACAATTTTCAGCTGCATCTTCCAAAGAGGCATCCAGGCTTACAAGTGCTTGTAAGCAGGAGGAGGAGCAGTAGCAAAGCAGGGCACAGCTGGGCAGATGTGCTGTATAAAGGAAATAGAAAGGCAATTCACTTATTTCTCATTTGCCTGGTTCTGCTTCTCCTCAAAAAAAGACCACAGAGATTCTTTTCCACAAATAGACATAATGCTGATTATTTACATTAATAAGTAGCTAGTGTCCTCAGGCAACCATTGAAGGGCACAGAATTCAATGGGAATTTATCCCTACCATAATCAGCCTAGTATGCTACCACTGGGCCCTACCTGCATCGCATAATATTCATCATTTACATGCACATGTGAAAGGAAGAAGGAGGATCAGCAAGGGTAAGAAATCATGAAGGATAGAGAAGACAATCGTATCAGCACTACTGCTTGACCTCAGGCCTCTTCTTGAGTTCTAGTAACTTTTTATCTTTTGAATAAATGCATGAGCTTTCACTTGCATTTTAGCCAAGGGTGAAATAGCAGGCAGAACTCTCCTTCCCTGAGAGTTTTGGAGCAGCAAAGGAGGGGTCTTTACTTTTGTATACATAAAAAAAAAATGGATGGTCATGGGAGAAAAAAAGGAGCAGAATAATGAGGCAGCTACACTGGCTGATGGAAAACAGCAGGTAATTTGAGCAAAATTTCACTACACAGAACAAATTAAAAAGTTTGACCTTCCAAACAGTAGCCAATAAAATTACAGTGATTAAAGAATTAGAAAGTAAATAAATTAAAAGACAGAAGTAGATGGAATTAAAATATTGCTTTCACCACCAAGTGCAAAATGTGTATTAATGTTTCAATAATGGGACAAAGGGCGAAAGAACTACATCGTACCATAATTTTAAGTGAATTAGGGATCTCTTGCAGCAGATTCACATACGTATATGTATGTTTATACTGTGAGTGTGTGTGTGTATGTAACAAAAACATGGAAATCTGCTCCTACTGCAGAAATTCCTGTCAGATTTATCCACTTCCACAGAATTGCTTCAGTCTGTCTAGTCCTTACTAACAGTGTCTCTCATGCTCTGTTTCTGAGGTGAAAATGGAAAGGTGAACAGCATGTGAATCATGTCTTTTAAAGTGTGCTGATGGTTTGAAGAAACACTAGGAAGGTACAAACTAGCTGAATTCTGACATCTGAAGTTAACAGTCTGCATCTTATTAGAAATAAGTACAATATAAAATGAAATATAATATCCCATTATTATGAGACTTACTGAATGCATAATTAAAGAATTTCTCTACGTGCCACAGTGCTTTGCAAACTCCAGAAGAGTCTTTATGAAGACAGAACAGGCTGCAAGTGGAATGGATTTGATACCTGGCTGCTTACCAGACAAAAGCTGGCAATCTTTGTCATTGTGCAATGTAGTGTCTTAGTGTAGATACACCCACTGAAAACTGCAAACTTGAGAAGATGGGGTCACACATTTCTGCAAACTCACACTCCTTGTGTCCTTTAGGGTGATGAACCAGAAACTTTTGCAGGGAGACATTAAAATACAGAGAAAACCTACTCAGACATTACATTTGGTTTTGTTTCTTTCACCAAAAAAAGGGATTTAAAAGTATGAGATGAAGAAGTGCCAATTTTGTGTAAAAGACTTATGTGCAAGTTATTCAAAGGGTTAATTTTGACTGAAAAAGGAACTATGGAAGGAACATAAATTCTCTTAAGTGCTTAGTGGTAACTGGACTTTATCTACTTCGGAACTAAACAAAACTCAGGCCATGCAAAAGTTCTTTTCATGAACATCCTACAAATGAACTTTTCCAATGAGAAGAAAAGGAGTGCACTTGCAAAAAAGTAATTGTTGTAGTTGATACATTTGTGTTTATTCTATGTGAAGACAGAGATGATTGGGCCATCTGTGCTGTAGAAATAAAAATCAATCCTAAAGTGCATGAATGCTACAGCACCTTTAAAAAAGAAAGGTTTTTTTGTTCTTTGGAGACCAAAACAGGCCTCAAGCTGTACTACTAATAAGCATCATGCACTACCTAATGGGCAAAAATGTGAATGAATATCTGAAAATCCTTCAAGTTACTGTGCAGTGTTTCTAGTAGCAAGAACATCCTTCTTCTCTCACATCACTGATAGTATCAATTTCACAAAGAAAAGTAAGTAATGAGTCATTTTGAACAGCAGGTAATGACAGTACTGGCCTTTATTCTCACTTGTGCCAAAACCCCTTTCACACTAACCTGGGAGACTAGAGAGTCCTAAAAGCAACACTTCACCATGTGTTGAGCAACTTTAATGATCATGAAAATCAAACCCATTACTTGAGGGAGAGTATAATAAGGTGTCTGGATGCCAGTAACACTCACACAGGTGCCTCACTCACTGGGAGACAGAAAGAGACTCATCAAAGTAACTAGGAAGGGAAATTATTCCATTAGCTGCAGAAATCAGGAGAAACCACTTCCAAGAAAGATGGCACTCTGCACTTGGAAGGAAGGAGAGCCTCTCCCTCTCTGCAATTGGTTTTGCAGACAGTTAAGGTTGTGGCGGTGCGGGGGGGAGAAAGAATACAGGAAAGAAGAGGTCTTTCTAAAGCTTGAGCACTGGTCATCTTGAGCAGGATCTAAAACTAGAGAGAAGACAGAATCAAAAGTAAAAGGGAGAAACATGAAAATTAAAAAGGCCAAACCATAAACAAATAATCCTACAGACTTAAACCAGATGTCTCTAATAGGAGTTTGGGCTACAATGCAGTACAAATCTGAGCCTAAGAGAAAACAAAAACAAGACACATGGGAATACTTCTTTTTTCAATTTGTCCTTGTTTGTTACATGTCCTGATTTTACTTCTAAAAAGGGAAACTCTCTGCCTGAGAAAAAGCCTTAAACATTCCTTGATGTTATCACTTACTTTCTCATCTCACATTCCCATATTGGAGTGTTTTCATTTTGACTACTCATGTTTTTGCTATCATCAAGCAGCTGAATTGAGTGCATCACCTGGGCACAGTGGAATTTGGGGCCTGGCACTGAGGAGAAAGGGTGGTACTGACACCCAAAATCCACAGGAATCTCAGAAAAATATTTCCCATAACAAGGGCACATAGGCCTCATGCACCTCTTGCACTGAAACATTTTGTTTATGCCTCACGCCCAGAGCACGGAGGCAGTAACCTTGGGTAACTTCAGGAATGCTTTATTAACCTGAAGCTCTGCTGTTCCCTGCAGCTTCCACTGAACCTAGACTGTCTCTGGTCGTGCTTCTACACCCTGCTCCACTGCTTGGCTCTACCTGCGGAGAGGAAGGTTAGTTCAGTCCTGCGGGTTCCAGGATGAGTGTTCTCAGCCTCTGTCTGGGAAGTGGTGCATGTCTGACCTTGGAAAGTGCAGCACCCTTCTCCTATGCAGATTTCCTAGCTGTGGGGGTGGCCCAAGGCCACAGTTTTTATTCTGTGAGTGATATTCCCCACAACTGCAAAGGACAGGCATTTAATACACTGTCTGCCTATAGTCTTCTCATGGTCTACCATGCTCCTGGCAATACCATAACCTGCCACTACTTTCCAGCTCCTTTTCCTCAGATTCAGTAAAGCACTCACGTGTGTGATGTCAGAATCTTGATGCAATATGAAGGGATAGAAAAGTCTACAAGCTAAAGGGGAATTCTACATATATTTCTGAAATGCCAGAAGCTATTTTTTTGCATAATGCCTACCCAACCCCAAAGTGATGCAGCAGATGGAGGAAGGAAAAACAGGTTACATACCTGCACTGTAAATGTACTGACAGGCTTTGCTCTGCCTACTACCTAAATGACTTGCCATGCCTCTGTTAGAGTGGTTTCTGAGAGGATGTGAAATTGTAGTTTAGATTTATGAATACTTTTAATGTCAGAAGAGTGTGCTGAAGCACAAATTTATCTGCAGGTACCAGCCCTTGGGTTATAAAACAATTATTTTGTAAAAAGCAAAATATTTATCATTTGGATATAGAAAACAAAGAGTAAGGCCTGATTGGAATCTCCTAGTAACAAGCACCTTGAAAATCACATTATTTGTATTATGTTATTTGCCATGCTGTGACTTTAAAACAAAGAAAATCAAAATAAAAATTTCTGCTTTATTTGCTTCCAAATTAATTTTGTCAGTTGTTATTTTACGACTTCATAATCTCAGACTTAACACCAGCACTTATGAGACTGTGGTATCTTAATTTTGTTGATGCATACTTAAGATCAGATCTAGGAATTTAGGAAACTAGGTGTTAAGTTCCCGCAAACATGTGCTTTTTAAGGACAGTCCTGGGGGTGCTGAATCTGAACAGTCAGAAGTCAATCCTGCTTTCAGTTCCACTAGGAGTCCTGGGCTGGATTTGAAGAAGTAACATTTTTGAAATCTGCAGATTTGGTTTACTACCAAAGCCAGATTTTTTTGTAAAGTATGCATGATCCATGGATTTGTACTTGTTTCACTGCAGGCCACACATTAAAAAAAAATGTCTACAGTATTTCTTATTACAAATCCCTAAGTACTTGAGCAAAATTTTTAATTTCAAAGAAAGATAAAAGATTAGTGATGGGCAAAACTGTGCAAAACAGGCTGAGATTCGGAATTTACAGTATAGTGGCCTAACATACTAATATATTAATATACTGTTGGTTTATACCTGACAGAGTTTGTAGCTATGCATATAAACCAAACCCAATTTAAAGCTGTGAAGCTCTAACTAGCCAAGAGTCAAGATGTTTTACAATTATCTTGCTAAATATTTTCTAAAAAACACACCACACATTTCAAATCTAGACAAGTCTATGTATGGCTAACTTGGGCAAGAAGAAAATTATTTTGTCCCCCCTTGAATTTCTGCTTCCCAGTAATCCCAGGTCCTTTCCAGTGTTCTGTACCATAATCAAACCTACCTTTCCCATCCCTATGCTGTGGCCCCTATCCTTGCTGACCACCACAATGCACTAACAGCAGGGGTGCCCCATCCCCATCCAAGCAGTGGTGGTGCAGGCACAGGGAGGCAGCTGGAGGGCTGCCTTAGCTCCAACCTCTGTTGTCACACCTGCTGGTTT